AACATTGCAAGTTAAATTCAACAATCTTTTATAAGGTTAGAAATTAAGAGGAACCATGTCTCTTGTAATAATTGATAATCAGAATGTCGACTAACAATTGGAGTAAGTCAAAAGATCTAGCGGTTGAGATTTAGGGGACATATAGAGAGGATAAGAGAACTCCTCCACCCAAAACAAATCACCAAATCCTGTCGGGCGGCGGCGGTCTTACCATAATCAAAAGATAATTTTTTTATTGAATTAATTTCATAATTATGTAACCTAACTAGTTAAAATTTTAACAAAACTTAGAACGCATAAACCTATCATAGTCACTTTCAGTATTTTAGTGTAAAAATATGATATACTTTATCCTCAATATTTTTTTTTAAAAATTTATACTTTTATATTTAATTTATGTAAAAACTATTTAATCAATGATTCATTTAATTAAATAAAATTTATAAGTTAAATATACATATAAAATATATAAAATTCATGCTTCATGAAACAAGGATTACAAAGATATTAAAAAAAAAAAAAACATTAACTCCCTACAAAAATGGAGTGAAAATGGAGAACGGTAAACAGTGGTGGATAGGATAAAAGCTATTTTTTGTCCGTTAATTTTAGCCAAGGTACTACGGAGATGTTTTTCTCCGTTAATTTTACCTGTGCTATTTTGTTTAACCTATAGTATTACAATTTACCTAATTTCGGAGCATAGCTATTGCAGTTTTAAGAAATGTAATTATTATAATTACTTCCACATCAACAGCATCTAAAAAATAGGTTTGAACGCGATTGAACAACAAAATAAACATTTTCCAGAAACAGAAGACAGGCGAACACAGACAAGAAAACCTGACTCAGCCAAGGACCAAAGCCCCCCAACAAAAGACACAGTGAACCAGGGAGGAACCTATCCTTATTTCAAGACCCTAGAAACTAACACTCTCCCACACCATAAGCATTGGGAGAAAACACAAACACAAAATTAGAATCATTATTCCATTTATTATTGTAACTCTATTATAGTAGAAAGACAACAGGACTATGCACCTGAACCGAGAAGCAAATTTCAGTGTCACTCTTCCTCTGATTCAGACTCAGCACTCTGGAGCCACTCAATGAAGGGCTTGACATTCTTCCAGATTGGAGAGCTTTTATTCCCACCGGCCAGGCCCTGCTTATACCACTCCATGATGAACTCCTCTTCCAATAAATCATTATCATAAAGTGTTTTGAGAACCAAAGCCACCTCCTTAACTGCCTCAGCACTTGCCTTTTTGCAGAAAGTCTCTATAGCATGTAACAGAACCATCTGTGATCATTCCTCTTGAATCGCAGCAGCCAGATAGTTTTTCTTTTTTGATACCTCTTTCGCAAATCCCTTTCTCAACACCATCAAATAGAGCTACAAATAATGCATCCATTACTTCTTGAGGAGAACCAGAAACTGAAGAGAAGAATGACCTGAGCTGACTTGCCGAGGAACCCTTCTTGATATGAGCTCTTATTTCTTCAACAAGTTTTTTGTGGGCATTATTAATTACACTGGAACCATTCCCGTGCACCTCTGTCTCAGAGTCAGAAGGTTTCGTCACTGGCTTTTTCTTCTCCTCGTTGGTTGTAAGCATCACCATATCTGCAGTTACTGCACTTAGTTGCTCCTGGATACGTTGTTTAGCAGCCTCCAAAGAAGTATCTGTCTGCCATTGGATATCATCGTTGTCGTCATCTTCAAGCTCCCGATCATTTTCATCGGCTTGGCTACGTGCTGGGGAGTGATCCTCATCAGAATTGCTTTTCTTCTTGGCACCTTTGGCAGCAACATCCTTGGAATTGCCAGAGGAGCCTTTCTTTTTTCCCTCTTTCTTAACCTTCTTTAGTTCCTCATCAGCAACCTCTCCCTCCTTGAGCCTTTCTTTCTCAGCTCTTCTCATTGCCTTCTTGTCTTTAGATGACTTCTTTGCCTCAGGTGGGTTCTTGAGGATAAATGTCGTTAGCTTGTCCCTCATGTCAACATCTGAGATAAACCCACATGCAGCACATTTTAGTGTGATCATCTGTGACTTAGTGATCACAATCTCTGTTTCAGGATTCCCACAACCATAGCACTGAACATATTTCTTAATGAAGTTTTCAAGGAGAGCAGCAAGCTTAGAAGTGTCATGGGCTCCATTTACCAGTGAAGTTCCCATCTTCTCGTCAAATTTTGATTGGGCTCCAAGCTCACAACCAAAATATTTTGTGGTGTAAGAAGCAGGTCTAGCCAAGGCCTTGGCAATGTCAACCATATTAACCACATTAGTTTTGATGCCATTGCCTCTGCCTTCGATCTTCGTGATCATTTTTGGCATCTTATACCTATAGAAGGCATCATCACGGTTGGAAGCCCCAATATTTTGCAAAGCCATTTTTTGTTAAAAGGATGACTTGTTTAACTGATCAGAGAGGGTAGATGTCTGCAGCAGTATAGTTTCTTGGAATAAGAAATTCTCCTTCACCAGATTGATTTTTATCAAAAAGGCAAGGTCGCATAAACTGGCAGTCAAAATTATTTTCACAGTAGGCCTCAAATAATCCAAGATGCATGCAGCTTCCTTTATAAGAGGACCTTATGCTCTTTTTTCTGGTAGGGCAGTACTCTCCAAGTAAACCAATTGATGTCAGAAAGAGAGGAGCCCGTTCAGACATAAAAGAAACTTCAAACTTCTCCACTTTGACAAACTGCAGATGCAGCAGACTTAACTGCCAACTTTCTGAAATAGAATATCATTCCACATAATAAGATGGCTTCGAGAATATGATTAAACTGTTGTAAAATTGGTATGCAACTATGACATGAAGAATAGTACATTCCGTGCAATAAATTTTACTTAATATTCAATGCATAATGCAAGCTTTTATAATTTTCTCAGACTCGTAGGGGTTGTTAAGTGTTTAAAACATTTCTGGGGCATAAAAAACCTGTAAAACTTAATAGTCAGAGCCTAACTCATCGATTGGTATGTAAGGTAGATTGGTATGTAAGATTATTTAGAACACAAATTCTTAAAGTGCTGCAGCTGGTCAGACGAAAGAAATCCAGGGTGCTTATTCTAATACTTAAAACATCGGGAATTGTTTATAATAGTGCTTCGAAAGGCACACGTGCCTGAAAAAACTTCCCCCGAAACAATGAG